GGGGCACTTTCTCATAGTACTATACGCGTACAGCTGCATCACAGCTGTTGAACCCCGAAACCATGTCCAGCAGTTATATCTCAGCAAATCCAAAACAACCTAGTCTCAGAGTAACTTCCAGTTGTACTATTATAATAAGGAACTTGACTCTAGCCTGAAGCATCAAAGGATGGTACAAAAAGTACTGAATGACGATATCAGTTCCTTGGAGAATGAAAACCTCACAGGGAAGAACAACTAAAATTAGCTCATTCTTTCCAGTGACAACTGGCTTAAATGGGGGTCATGAGGGTCAAATGTATCACACCAGTCTCAGCCTGAACACCTTCTTGAGTCATTTAATTCCAAGGAAAGTTTGGCTCTAAAGAATAAATTCAAAAGAAAAAGACTGTAACAGACTGCTTGCATAAGTGTGGGAAGATAATCTTGTAGCAGCATGTCACTTAAAAGTCAAGGACAATGTGAATGAGAGGAAGCAGCACAGTGTGCACTGAGTAAGACATCCCAACCTGGATGTGACACACTGCTTTTAACGGCAGGAGGAACTTTGATACTGACAACATCACCTTCAAAGTGTGTTACATGTTTTATATCTCATCCGTGGATACTGTGGGTTTCATTATCAGAGGGAGGAAGGGCCTTTTATAGTGCACATTGATGCAGCTGTGACTCAGGTGATCTCACCTTTTAATGCACACATGTCAAACAGGCATATTGCCTCTAGTGTTTCCACCAGATATTTCCTCAAAATAAATCTACTACATCTGAATGAATTCTGGTTCACGAGCTAGAGTCAGATTTAAATATGAGACCCTTTGTTAATCCAGACCTGCATCATAGAGACAAGTCCCTGAAGATACAGGTTAGTACTGCAGGAAATGCATAATTCTGTGGGTGGAGATATGCGGGAATCATACACAATACAAATCTTCAAAAAAAAAATATGCGCAGCAGTAAAAATAGCCTTCAATGAGGAACCAAGTAAACCTGTCATCATGCCTATTAAACAGTTTGGAATATCCGGCCAATGGTGTAAGCCGTTTTCCCATTTGTTTGTTTTTATGCTATTTTCCCATTTGGGTAATGTTTGTACGTGCGAAAGCAACGCTACAGCAGAATTGTTCCCTGGATCACGTACTCCCCTAAAGATAATATCAGATCATCGCTGATATCACATAAATTTCTCAAAGACGCACACACACTTGCAGGAACTAACACACACATCCTTTTAGTGACCTGATTTAATGTTTGTAAGAATGGAAAAGGGGCACTCGCTTTGGACCAAACTGGCAGGGGGACCTCGAACGTGTGTGTGTGTGTGTGTGTGTGTGTGTGTGTGTGTGTGTGTGTGTGTGTGTGTGTGTGTGTGTGTGTGTGTGTGTGTGTGTGTGTGTGTGTGTGAGATTTAATGTTTAGAAAAGTACATCCCCTCAGAACACACCCGCACACTAACAGAAACAGTCACACATATACACACTGAAGAGTTCCTTCCCTCAACAGAGACACACAAAAAACCCTTAATCATGTCCTGTGTTTTTAATCTAATTTATGTACAGTGAGTTATTTTAAAGGATACATATAGAGATTTCAAATTGAAAGATCATTGGTGTGTCATCACTTTTCGTTGCCAGGTGTTTAATTACAAAGGCTCTCATTGCTTAGGACTAACAGTATTAATGATGGACGTCGTTTCTGGGACTGAAAAATTAAGGCTAACGTACTTTAAACCTCTATTCATTGTGATTGTCAGCAAGGACCAACGATAGAAACCCAATTGAAAAAAACATTTTTCAAGCCAAATTTCAGGTTAAGTATCTCAAAAGTAACGCAAACTTCTGAATAAATAAAGTAATTTTTAGTTACTGAGTCAGAATTTTCAAATAATTTTGATATGCTCCCCTGGTTTCTGTGGACATCAATAAATACTCTGCTTTTAGCAACTCAGGTCATACTGAATAAAACATTAAGCTCATTTTGTAAATTATACTTATCATTAGAGTCAGAAAGAAAGATTGTCCTGTGCATGCTCATTGGCCAATGACTTGACGATCACAAGTTGTTAACGAATGAGAGTGCGGTGTGCTTGACAGTCAGATCCACCTCTCAACTGTCATGTAAGGTTATAAAACGCCAAAATGGTGACGATGAAAACTCTCAGCTCATAACCAGGCGGCACCTACCAACAGGTAATGACACAGACACCTACATCCATCCTTTATACCCTGTATGTTTTTAGAGGCAAGACAAATTTTGAAAATATTGAAAAAGCAGGGACAGTTTCTTCATGAGACTTTAAGAGAGCATAGCACACTAAAGGTTACAGAGCTATTGTAAGAGTTTGACCTTAACAGTCAAAGGTGCTGAGTAAAATGAGATTAAATGAAAATCAACAGTTTGTTGTAGCTCTCCCACTGCAGAGCATTGGAAAGCATTCCAAGAACTGTCAAGGTTGTGTTAACAATGCTACCCCCTGTGTGCTGTGTGCTTTGTCTTTGAACTAAAGCCCCTGTGGAAACAATTAGTGGATTGGTGGGGATGTGATGACGGTTATCAAACAGAAGCAAATACCATGCTCCATGCCTCCTCTATTAGCAAATACCACTGAGAAAGACACATGCATCTGTGATGTAAACATACCTCTTGATGAGCTTTATAGACTTAAAGGCTTCATCCATGTCACCGATAGTCAGGTAGAAGCTGAAGTTGAGCATGGCGTCACGAGTGGCCTTCTCACAGTTCTCCAGACCTACAAAGTCTCTAAGAGCTTTCCGGGACACCATATGAGGGACCTGGGAGGGCGTCCCTGTCGTTGGCTGGGTTCGGTATGACGATGCCGAAACCTCTATTAACCCTTGATCCTTCTCACCTGGCTGGTAAAAATATGTAGCAGTAAGATCAGCACCCACATGATTCAGACCCACTCGTAATAAGCATGTTGTGAAGTGAGAACTTAAAAATAAAATAAATGTGAAATACAAAGGGGAACAATGAGCACTAGAGACTGAGTAGGAGGGATCACAAAACATGTCTACTTATTAAGTGGTTTTTTAGCTGTGCACAATTAGAGTTGTAGATATTCCACAGATGCACTTGTGCTGGCTGGCGTTTTCATGTTTTCTTATATGGAACGCAAGGCACACACAATCACAGCACAACAAAGAAAACTGAGGCTTTCTGAACGAACCGTACAGAGCAGACACTTACTTCAGGCAGAAATACATCACCCCTCCGAAATAATAGCTGGGGGTGTATTGGACCAAACACAGAGTTGCACATAAGAATAATCACAAGCATAAATAAAAAGACACATGATACATGACACAAAAAAATTAAGCAACAGATTTATATGTGGATCACCCCAGCTAAATGGAGAACACACACAGGCTCAGTCCTCACCTTGCAGCTATAATAATAGTAGGGCACATCCAGAGCGAGGAGCGCCTGCATGCCTGGAGGTCTAGGGGAGCAGTCCTGCAGGAGGAGCCCATGCTCCTGTGTGCAGAAGAGGGTCACCACCAACACATCCACCTAAGTGAAAGGAAGCCATCATACTTTTTAACTACCCCTTAGTTATTACTATATTACAGTGTTTAGGAGTGGTCTTTACCATATCCAAGGAACTATTTAATATGGATTCAGAGCTGACTGGCACAGTCTCGCAGACAAAAAGACGAGGTTCACTCTCATCCCAAAAATGAGACACAGGAGAGTGACCGCTGAGCGACCACTGCTGCCTGGAAAACAGAACAGAGTGAGCACAGTATGTAATCAAAGGGGGAAAAAGGTAATATGCACGAACACAATAAAAACAGACGAAAGCTACTTTGGTTACTTTTCACTTTCTTCTTCCTGTGAGATACCACTAGAAGGTCTGCCAGTGAAGAAGTCAAAGTGTGTCACAGTGTCCATCTCAACATCATAAAAGTACACTTTGTGATCAGGTCGCCCATTCACCTGAGAGGAAATAATCTCGCACAGTTCATTTAAGTTAAATATGCACAGTTTGATATAAAGACATTACATTTCCAATATGAAATAGAAGCAAGGTTTGATGTGCTCACAGTACACTCACCTGAGAGATTAGGATGCTGACTTGGCTCCCATTAGCATTACATTTAACTGACCTTAGTGCTCCCAGATTGGGAATCTGGTCAGCTAGGTTCTTGGTGCTGCAGTGAGCTTTGGCATCTCTATAAGGACAAAGAACATGTTGATAAAGATTCAATAAAAAAAGCACAGAGGCTTCTTTTTAAATTGTTTTAACCAGGATAACATCCACGTGAATGCCAACCTTCTGGAGAGGTCGAACACTCTGATGTTTGCCGTGTCTGTGCCCACCACCAGATAGGACTGACGCACATTGAGTAGTACAGGGTTTCCCTCTGCCTTGGAGAAGGTTAAAAGCTGCTTCACTGTGCCCTGAAAGCAATACCCAAGATCCAAATATGTTTACATTCTTTAAAATCCACTCTGACTTAACGTCAGCTGATATGCTGTCTCATATTTGTGTTTATATAAATATATGAGGCAAACAGACCTGAGGTGTGCGGATTTGTACCCGGTTTGGTTCTACAGTGTAAAGATTCTCGCCGTGTACAGCCACCACGTGCGAATCACAAGGAAATGATCCTGGGAATTAGAAAGATGTAAGGCAGAGAAAGCAGATGTGGTGAAATTAAAGGTGGAAACCGTGCTGTTTATTGTTTTTTCAGTGAATGCTGTACCTGTATTGCGCAGACTTGTCCCTGAAAGCTCATACACAGTGACCTGCTTGCCATTCCAGACCGTCACTGAGTCCTGACAGTGTGACAAAAAGAAAGTTATGTTGACATGACAGCAGTTTAAACTTCTGCTTGTCACCAACAGGAATACTTTGTGAAAGCCTTCATCTCTACCCTTACCTTAGTAACACACACCCCTCTGACATGTATGTCAGACTGCAGAGAAAAGTGCAGACCTGTGTGGAACTGAGTGATGTTGAGCTGTGTTGGGGAAAGCTGCACTGCTGCCACCTGGTGGCTGAAGTGGGCTGACATCACATGCTCACAGAGGATCAGAACTGTGTTTGAATTGTTTGCCGCCAGGAGATTCAGGTTGGAGCCCCACTGAAGGATAGATCAAAGTGGAATTTCTAAACAGAACACTACAGATGGTTTGTGACATAATCATTAAAAAAATTATGTAATGTAATCGAAACACCCCTAACCCATGCATGTTTGGATTGTGGGAGGAAGCCAAAGTATCTGTTCAGAGTACTGTACTGGTTAGTTTAACTGATGACTCTTCATTGGCATGACATCTGGGATAGACCTGGAGTGGTAGAACATGGATGGAACGAAAGTAATGTACTAATGCTGGTCAAGACATTACCTGTAGCTGAGTGACATTTCCTCCAATTTCTGTTGGTGTCTGCAGTTTCCACTGGGGCTTAGTGTCACCTCTACTGCTACCCGACTGCACCACCATCCTCCACATTGCTATGCGTCCATTGGTGGTGCCAGCTGCTAGGATTTCTGAGTGTTGCACAATTTTTAAAAAAGCAACAAGTTTTTTTTTAACCTATGCATTTGGAAACATTCAGGAATATGGTGATGGGAAAGAAAAAGCTTCTTTTCATTTACAATTCTGTGCAAACTTTTACCTTTGCCTGCACAGTATGAAACACAGTTGATCATCTCTCCCCTCTCATATCCCAGAGTCTCATCAAGAGACAAAACATAGTTGTCA